TCCTTCTTGTCCAAGTACTGTGGCACGAACCCAACGTCCTTTATCCTTGAACTTTGATGAATCCTGAGTCCAAATAAAAACCTTCTCTCCTTGGAAATAGGGACCGTCACTTGGCATAGTCCTTCTTGCAAGATCTGCTCGAAGGTCCTGAGCTTGTCGTGCTTCTTGATGAGCTCTCAAGGCTACACGTTGTAGTTCCAGATTTGTACGATCTTGTGCTGCTGCATCAGCTGACAATTGCTCAGGGCTTGCGGTCTCAAGGTCAAAAAGATCTGGTGGACGTCTTCCAGTTGCTATCTCTATTGGTGAGTATCCACTGATAGTCAACTGACAATTTCTTGCCCAAACTACTTTCTTGACCACTTCTCTGACCGTAACACCACGAAAACGTGGGTCATCCAGATCTACTTTCATAACATGGCACATACGTTTGAACAAACGTACAGCTGTCTCTGCTCTGTTCGGCCAAGGAGTTCTTGGCCCACAAGGACATTGTTGTATACCATGAAACCTGTAGTATTCAACAAAAGCATCTGTGAAAAAGGCTTCGTCTCCTACGATGGCCTTCGGAACACAATTGTTCTCATCAGACCATTGTCTCAATGCTTGGATGGTGGTTTGATCTATGAGGTCTTTCTGTGCCGTAGCCCAGAGAAGATTTGTGGCACCATCAAGAACAAGTAGAATGATATACTTGTTCTTGTGAAGTTCAACCTCACAATGATCAGCAAAAACAACATCACCAAAACATGAAGCTCTAATACCGGAGACTCTGGCTCGTGGCGGAGGTGCCACTGAAGTGTTACAAACACGGCAGTTCCTGACAACTGATTCATACTTCTCTAAAACAGAGTCAGGAAGCTTCAACATAGAAACACGCCTACGAAACTGAGTAGGACTCATATGGTAGTGCTTCACATGAAGCTTATAAAGCTCTACCTTGTCCTCCAGTCTCTGCAACATCTTCCTATATGCCGGTGTCATTGCAACAACTTCACTACCAGGTAATGGGATTGAAATCCGCCTAGGCTCAAGAGCGCCATCACCTGGTTCAAGTGGTTCATGTTTATCACTTGATTGTCCTTTTGATGCTTTAGGAATTTCTACAAGTTCACCTTCTGGCCTCTCAGGTGGTTCTGAGGGAGTATACCCTTCAGGATCATCACCCTTTAAATCAATTGGAGGCTCAGATGGTTTCGACTTGTGTCCTTTCCAAAATGGATCAAAACCCTTGGATGTATACCGAAACTTTGGCGGCACAGGCTTTTCCGCGGCACTGGATGGTGCACCTTCCTTCTCTGATGAGAAGCCTGGTTCCCTGTCCTTTGCAATGGGAACCTTCTCTGAGGAGGAGCGCACCACTGCATCGGGATCACCAATGCCACGGTGCTCAATGCCAGCCTTCCTGATCTTTAGATCTGGAATTTTGGCATCTGGCTTGAACTTAAAAATTGTTCTACCACGCCATTCATAGCCAATTTGTAGGTCCTTCCATTTTGCCTTGCGCCAATCATCTTGCTTCTTGATCTCTTCTCCACCTTCTTTCTCCCTGATGATTGTCAGTCGCAAGTCTTCCAGCAAGTCAGTGTCTACAGGACATGACTTAGTTGCTGGGAAAAGGATCTTTCTGTAATCCTTGTGGTGACGTGTCAGTTCTCTCTCTTGTGAAGATCTACTTCCCAGTAATCAACCACAGGATATGCATGCTCAGCTTCATCTTCATCACTATTGTGATCAACCGAAATATGGCCATATTCATAGTGAGTGAAGTGAGAGTAAAAGCTCTTCTCGCGCCGAGCCTGCAAACGCACGTCAGACAGATACCATGCAATATCTTGGAAGTCCAAAACAAGATGAGTACTGGCTGCAACCTTCAACTCCAAAAATTTGATACCGAGAGGCACCGATGTCAGGTAAGCATGTTGAGGTGTCAGCCTGAGTTCAAAGCCTAAGTTCCTCATCTGTGGCAAGCTCATAAGCAAAGGGACTTCTCCTTCTTCAACTATGTCAAACTCTGTATGGTGGATCGTCCATGCGCGATCATACATGTAAATCACCAGTTTCTGAGAGCAAGAAGCCTTCTGAGAATTGGCAAAGTAAAACTTGCTCTTGGTAGACTCAAAAGAGTACCATAGTCCACAGTCTGGATGATTGTCGACATAGTTACAAAAATAATCGACTGCACGCCTTGATCCCATAGCTCTAGTGCATCCAATGTCCAGGATTGCAATAGTTGGCGGGAAGCGATTTTCAGTCAAAAATGAAATAGCCTGCATCTCTTTCACTTCTTCCTCAGCGCTCATAAGCGCAAAGCCATCAGGAGCATCTGTGAGCATCTCCTCTGACAAAGAGTACCTCACAGGGGCACTCATGCCATCGAAGATCGTCTCACCATTGTTGACATTACAGTCAGCTTCATCTTGACATGAGGTCATCATGCCTGACAGCAAGTCCACCTCACTGTCATGGACTTCAGCTACCGTTGTCACACAATGCGCAAAGAAACCTTGGTTGCTTCCTGATGCTTGTGAAGTTCTTGAAGGTGCAGGTAAAGAACGTGGCTGTTGTTGATTTGCATAGTTTGCATCTTGTTTGCCATCTCCTTTATCTTTTCCTTTTCCTTTCTTGCCTTTTCTCTTGCCTTTTCCCTTTCCTTTGTGGGAAAACCATGCTTCTTCAAGTTGTTGCCAAAAGTCATTGGCATCTTCATGTTCTCCTTGAAGATAGTCATTCATATCTTCGGCAATGATAGCATCATATGCTACTTGATTTGACTCCCAAGTGTCCTCATAAGGATTCTCTTCATAATACTCTTCTGGATAAGTTGTCGATTGCTCATCAGCATAATGGCCTTTACCTCGTCTCTTTCCTTTTCCTTTTCCACGAGGTCTGAAGAATCTGCGGCCTGATCTTCCTTTGCCTTTTCCTTTTCTTCTACCTTTTCCTTTGCCTTTTCTGGCTCTTCTTCCTTGGAATCTCCTCTGGAACCAAGAGAAATTCTGTTCATCATATACCCAAAAGACATCGTCCAGGGCATCTAGGAATCCTTCTGTTCCATCTTCTTCATCTTCGGCCCAATAGCCATATGTACCATCGAGTTCTCCTTCGTCTAGTACAAGAAATGATCTTCTACCTCCAGCACCTGTTGGCTGCATCAGAGGATTGTCTACTGAAGTCTTTGTTGTGCAGAACATCTCAATGAAGACTGTCCTCAACTCTATTGTTGTGTATTGCTGCAGGACTCTACCACGATGGGTCATCAAAGAGGTCAAAGTGTTCCTCTGGTCCTGAGACAAATCCGCAAGTGACAGCATGAGTAAGGCAATGAGATTCTCTCCTAAAGGAAATCGTTCTGATGAAGAATTCTCAGATTGCCATTGACATTCTGCATGATTTCCTGAATTCTTTCTGCTGTTGGAGCTACTCCAGTCACCGCTGCATCAGCTTGCATTTGAGCTTGTACCTGTGGGTGTACTTGTGTTACTGGATCCAACATGTCCATCCAACTGCTCATAAGCCTTTGGAGTAAAATCTGAAATCTTGTCATCCACTTCATCATGTCGGCTGATCCTCGATTGAATCGCACGAATTGCATAAACCTGTATAGGAATACATTGGTTGATCCTTTCACAAAATATGGTCGTAGTACTCTCTTGAAGTAATCTACTCCAGCTCCTGGTGGCTCATTAGCCTTCAATGCATCTCTGTCTAAAACTCGCTTGTATACAGCTGCTTCTCCTTCTAGTCGGTTTCTCAATGCTGGTCCTCTCTTCTCATCCTCCAGCTCGGTGATATCACACCAATCGTCTATGGCATCCTCATAGGAAAACCATGAAGTCTTTCCATCATAAGATGGGGGCACCTTTGTAGTGACCTGTGTTGTCATAGCTATCGCTGCTGGTTCTCTTCTCACATGCCTATTCACGTAGGCTGCTGGCTCATAAGCCACATCCGCATCAGGCTCTTCCCAGTCGTCAATCCAATCCATGGCCGTTTGCCCACAAGCAATTCTATGCCTAGGAAAGGAGCTCACCTGGGTCTTCCAGGATCACTGCTCCGCTACCACTGAAAGAGTGACTAGGGCGTACACGGTAGAGGTGCAGACCGCTAGTGTCTTTTGCTCACGCAGAGTCTTATCCTATATCTCTTGAGCCTTATGGCAGTCAAGCATGGACACACTAGATAGGCCACTGGAGTGGAACCTGTACAAGTATGCCTATACATTTCAGGGGGGGGGTGGCGGGGGGGTCTGAATTGAGCGATCAATTATTAGACCCGGACGTCCCAACACTTGCTTCGCAAGACAAACTCAAGGTATCCCCTAAAGGGCTACCTTTCGTGAATAGCGGGTCATGCACCTCCACACAAGACACGCCTTCCGCTTCAAAGAGAGAAACCGCTAGTATGAGCCATGGATGCCCTGAATATCCATGATCGAGCGGATAGTGCATGACGATCAATGACCATGATAGCACACAGAAGAAACTTACCGAAGAGCCCTGCTGTCCTAAGGTGACCAGCACTCAACCACCACAGGTCAAACACCCGAAGCCCTTCACAGTACAACGAGTAGCTTCTTGCTCCTAGTAGTAAGGCCAGGAGCCTCTAGTAGCTTCTTGTTCCTAGTAGCGATGCCAGGAGCCCCTAGTAGCGTCCTTGCTCCTAATAGCTTCTTGCTAGTAACGATGGCCTTAAATTCTAGTAGCGGCCTCCAACCTACTAGCTTCTTGCTTGAGGGTTCTGACCGAACAACCATTCTTTTGCTGAGGATTTTTGACTACGAAAAACCGGTTGTATATAATTATGCTTAGTAAAGGCCTTTCTCAAAAGATCGTTAAAAGATCGTGATCCATCTTTGACCGACACCCTCTATCTCCTCTTGGCATCGTTTCTCCTGAAGAAAGGCTGACTCACTTAGTTCACTCCCAACACCCCTCGCTACCGGTGGCACGAGCGGTCCGCGGTCCGCGCTGCCCCCACTCGTGCGAGTGCCAAGAAGCCTGTGACCACCTGAGAGGACCCGGGGGGGACCCGAGACGACCCGGCGAACGGAAGAGGTCGAGAGACACCCGAGAGAACACCGCGTGGAGTGTTCGGGGTCCGGTGGGAACCAAGGGCAGCGGAACCCGAACGACGAACGTCCCAAGAAGCTTGGTTACGGTCGCGATGCACGAGTGTGACGTTCATATAGCTTCTGGTGACGTTCGTAGTAAGGCCAGGAGCGCCCCCGTTCGTAGCTTCTGGTTACGTTCGTAAGAGTCCAGCTGGGGCTTCCAGTGCCTGAACAAACACTCTCTCTGGTTTTCAGCTCTTTGGACTCTGAAGGCCCCTCTGATGGCGGGGCGGAGCATGTTCGGAAGACCAAACAGCTGGTGCCATCCACTGAGTGTATTTTATGGAAAATCCCAGACCTGGGGAATGAGATGGTGGACCGCTAAGATGAGCGAGATCCCACCACATCTCAAGCGAGACGAGCCCGGCGGGCGATAGATAAGTTTCCTTGAGAATTCTTCCAGGCTTGTTTGCGTTCAATTCTTCCATCTGAAATGTCGTTTGACAAGTGGGTGGTGTCCAAGGCTTGGCAACTCCTGAACCATCACAACTTGAATGTGTGTCAAACATCCCTGACTGGTGAGAGACACTTACCAAACGAGCTCAAGAAGTTCTCTTCATCTTCGGCGTGGGCACCCTCCATTACTCCAACACCTCTGCTGTAGAAGAAAGACCGATTGGTAGCAATCCATAGCAATCCTTCAACTGCTGCCAAGCTTCATTGAGGACTGCCTGGCCGTCCGAGACGACGAGAGAATTCTGCGAAGTGTCGAGCCAACTCTGTCCACTTGCTGTGACATGGCGGTCATGGCATATACCCCAACAGTTCACACATACACAAGACACAAACAAAGCAGCACACACAAAAGAGTGAACTACTGATCATCTAGGTTTGCACCAGTCTTGACACACCTGTGGGGTGGTGCTTCACTCGTCTCACGGTTGTTCTTTTTGTTCACATGTTCACCAAATCCGCCAGGGCACAAAGTAGGTGAAGGCGATGTAAAGGGCAAAGGCGAAGGCCCAGACCAAAGAGATCCTAGGGCGGCCCCCTCGAGACGACCGGTCCTACTGGAAGCACCAGGAGTGTTGGAAAGGGGGCAGGTGTGCTGGAAACCCAGTGAAAGAAATGATATAACTGGTTGTTCATGGTTGTTCCAATAGATCGAGAGGTCGCAAAAACCTGTGACCTAAACTGCAAAGTGAAACAAGAAGAGGGGTTGATGCCACATATATACCAATCCCAGACAATCCATGGGACTGGAATATTTGCCTACATTGGGGTGATGTTTTAGATGTTTTGAGGGTCAATGTAGGTAAACATTCCATACAATGGATTGTCTGGGAAGTGGATGCTATTGCTTCACGAATTCAGGGGCAAAAGATCGTCACATTCACCAACCAAGGCATCAGGCCGCCCAGGCGCCAGTGAACCAACCGATCCCGACGAGCCACGGATGATCCGGACCGGCCCCGTGTTCCGCACCGACCACGACCGTCCCGGTGTTGTCCACTACTTCTTGGACGTCTCGAACTCACTTCTTCACTTCGTGGAGGAGTTGTTTGGCACCTCGGCCCCATGACCTCTTCGCCCGCCGAAAAAGTCTGCGAAAAGGGCGAAAAAACCAGTGCTGCTCGATGCCTTTCAGTGAACAAAGGGCTCCCTCCTGGAGGGACCCTGTTCAAGAGACCACCAAAAGCCCGCATGGGACATACCACACACTTGACGTACAGAATCTGTTACAAAGGATACTTCCCATCGAAGGACTTTCACGTTCAGAGCTTCCCGACCCGAAAGCCATGAATGCACTGAATGCATGCATATTATGTAAGCGCACCTGGTATTAATCAACCCCCCCCTATTAGTCTACCCAGCGTTCAGGCCCCAATAATAAACTAATTTGAACTATGAATTTCCACAGTCACCACCCTCTAATAAAAAATTTGCTTGGCTGAAACCCCCCCCTATTAGTCTACCCCCTGTCCCCCCAGGAAAAATATAATCACTTAAATATATATGTGTGTTTAATTAGTTTTGTTATTTTTGCCTTTTCAATATTTTCTTGTCTTGCCATGGTGAAACTAATCATCTGATTGATTACCAATGCTCTCCCAAAGCAACAGTTTTCCTAGAATTTCCAAAAACTCTCTAGGAAAAATCGTTCATTTTCCCTTATTAAAACTCTATCAAAATCTGCAATTTGAGAAGCTCAGAAAGGGTACCCCCCATACACCCCCTACCCCCCTCTAATAGTGGGGTACCCCCCCTATTAGTCAACCCCATCCATGATGAGCTCTCATGGACCTCATGATGAAAGGGAATTAGTATTTGGGCTCTCATGGATCTCATCATTCCATCCCAGCTCTTCCAAATACTAATTCCCTTTCATTCCAATTCTTCCAAATACTAATTCCCTTTCATTCCAATTCTTCCAAATACTAATTCCCTTTCATCTCAATTCTTCCAAATACTAATTCCCTTTCATTCCAATTCTTCCAAATACTAATTCCCTTTCAT